TGATCTCTGTATCTATGATTCTTTTCCTATTCTGGTTGTTTCCTTAGTTTGTTTTTTAAGATTCATTTGTTGACAGTTGTGAGTTTGTTGCCATTTTAATGTTCATAGTTTTGATCTTTTTCTTAAATAAGTTCCTTTAACATTTCATGTAATAATGGCTTGGTGATGATGAACTCCAAGAGCTTTATCTTGTCTGAGAAGCACTATATCTACCCTTCCATTTTAATGATAGCTTTGCTGGGTAGAGTAATATAGGTTATAGGTCCTTGATTTTCATGACTGAATATTTCTTGTCAGTTCTTTCTAGCTTGCAGTTTCTTTTGAGAAATCAGCAGACAGTCTTATGGGCACTCCTTTGTAGGTAACTCTGCTTTTCTCTTGCTGCTTCAGAAAGTCTCTCTTTATCTTTAACCTTGGGCATTTTAATTACGGTGTGTCTTGGTGTGGTCCTCTTTGGGTCCAACTTGTTTGGGACTCTTGGTGCTTCCTGGACTTGTATGTCTATTTCTTTCACCAAAATTAGGGAAGTTTCCTTTTGTTGTGTTTTTCAAAGAAATTTTCAATTTCTTGCCCTTCCTCTTCTCCTTCTGGCATCCTTATTATTTGGATGTTGGCATGTTTGGAAATGTCCTGGAGGCGCCTTTATACTATCCTCATTTTTTTCAATTGTTTTTTCTTCTTGCTGTTTTGGTTAAATGCTTATTTCTTCCTAATGTACCAAAATGTTGATTTGAATTCTGGCTTCATCCCCTCCATTGTTGGTTTCATGTAATTTTTTCTTTATTTCACTTAGTGTAACCTTCATTTCTTCCTGGGTCTTTTTTATGCTGTTGCTGTACTTTTTATGCTGTGAGTTCTTTGAGCATCCTGATCACCAGTGTTTTGAACTCTGCATCTGATAGGTTGGTTATCTCTATTTCATTTAGTGCTTTTTCTGGATTTTTTCCTACTCTTTCATTTGGGCCATTTTCTATGTCTCCTCAATTTGGCAGCCTCCTTGTGTTTGTTTCTGTGTATTAGGTAGAGCTGCTTTGTCTTAGTAGCACGGCCTATTGTAGAGAAAGCACCCGTAAATTGTGTGGGGTGAAGCCTTAGGCAACCCGCTTCACCACGCTTCACTACTTTGTGGCTCTGTGTTGGGGAGGGTTTGAAGGGGGAAAGTGCTGCTGCCTGTCTTCTGGAGGTTTGCCCGGCACTCGCCCTGTGCAACTGGCACCCTTTTAGCGTTGCCATGGTGATGGTTACCAGAGTGGGCAGGTTTGCATACGTTCTAAGATCGTTCAGGCTCTTTAGTTGAAATTTCCCCAAAATCTGGCAGTTTCTTCTGCTGCTCCAACCCCCAGTGGTCTTTACAGCCAGAAGTTAATGGGGATTTATCTTCCTGGTGCTAGAACCCGGGGCTGTGCAGTCTGGCCTGGGGCTGGAATCGCTTTCTCCCAGGGCATCCCTCCCAATTTTTATCCACACACGTGAATGTGGGACCACCCATTTGCCACTGCTGCCTCTCCGTGCCACACCGCACCTCTGCACCTCTCTGCCCCTCCTATCCATCTAGATGAATGTGCTTTAAATTTTTGGTCATTGGACTTCTACACAGATTTTCCGATGGTTCTGGGTGTTACTTGTTTTGAGGTGTAGTTGTAATTCTTTCTGTGGTTGCACAAGAAGGCAAAGTGTGTTTACCTATGCCTCCATCTTGACCAGCGGTAGCATTATCCTGCCTCTGTTTCTCTTAAGTATCTTGTTTAGCTCTCTCTCTGATGATGTCTTCTTTCCCTTGTGCATATCCAAATCTGTCTTCATGCAGCTTTCCCTCAAACCCTCAATGTATCTCTTCTCTACACTCTTCTTTTACTTTTACTCAGTACCATGTAATTTAGTACTTATATGATATTTTTTCTTTAGTCTTTTCTGTCCACCTAACGATAAGCTCCTGGATTGTAGAGGTCATATTTCACATTACTTTCTCTGGCTTTCATAACAGTCAGTGCTTGATAGAACTACACATAGTACCAGGTTTCCTCCTTCTGCCCCGTGTCCTCAGCGTGTGCCTTGCGGAGCTGCAGGGCACGTGCCTCCAGCAGGAGCGCGATGCCCCACTGGTGCACGAGAAAGGCTGCACAAACCCGGGCTGCATTTCTTTCTGCTCTGTAGCTCTCCTTTCCATGAAATTATGTTTCCTTCATCAGGTTAAGAAGGACATGTATAGCTGGTTTGTGTGTATATATATGCTCTTTTTTGCCAATCCAAACATGTATGTGTATTATACACAGTGTAACATGTATATATTAAAATGAAAAAATCCCAATAATATAGTAAGTGAAAAATTGACAGTAATACTATATATGTATAGAATCCAGAACAGTAGACATCCCTCCTCCAAAACAACCAGACAATATAAACCACTTCCTCGTGTTCCCATAAATTGTACAGATTACCAAGACCATTCAACTTATTTAGCTTTGTGAAGTAGATAAAAGATTTCTTTTATTCTTGGAAGTTAAAATGGGGTTAAATGAGGGAATTTCTATTTTAAAAGTTTCTTTTACTCCTAAACATTTGTTTTCTCTATTTTATGTATTTTGGAAGACATAGGGGGCATGGGGATTCATTCTAAAATACAACCTGCACCTCTTTTTCTAATTGGAAAAGTGCTCATGGTGATCACAGGGGCACGGATTTAGACAAAGTGACGGAGACAGACAGGAGGACCATGGGAAGGAGCGGGGAGCCCCACACCAAAAGCACTGGTTTGTCTGGTGACCCCCGTGGAAGGGTTGGCCCCAAGTTGTAATCTGTGAGGCTGGTCATGGCACACGGGGTTCATCGTACTCTTCTCCACTTTCGTGTGTTTGAAACCTTCCACCATAACAATATTTTAAAGACATACCTTAAAAAATAGACACCTTTCACAAAAGTGGTAAAATGACCTTTATGGAAAAAGTAAAATTTATTTAGTGACAATATTTGTAACATAAATGTAAAGGGATACTATTGACATGAAATGTATTTTAAAAAATTAATTCCCAAAATGGATCTTTAGGTTTATTCAGTCTTTCGTGGAACTCTGCCATGAGGATTATTTTTAGTCTTTTGATAAGCTAATTTTAAAATTCATATGCAAGTACCAGGGAGCAAGAATAGCCAGGGCAGTCCTGAAAAAGAAGAAACATGCCAGACTTATTATAAAGCTAATTAACAGAATGTTAATGAGAAAATAGAAAAACGGACCAGTGGAATAAAGCAAAGAGCTGGGACGTAAGTATAAGAGAAAACTGATGACTGCAATTGTAGTTCTATCATGTTAGCTAGAAGGATATTTTTACAAAATCAGATAGAATTTGTTTTTGGTTATATTAAAGAGTTCATTTCAAAGCCAACACTATAGATCTTTAAAAAGTCTATATTATTGTATGGATGAATTTCTTTAAAAAGATATTAAAAGCACTACACATAAAGATTAACATGGATATATTTGATAACTACTGAAAAAATCAGTAAGAATGAGACAAGTCACAGACTGGGATAAGAAGTATTCCACACTGTAGTCAATACATAAGATTATTGTTCCTTCATAGAACAAGTGACTTGGGCAATGTAGCTCTGAAAAGATTTGGTTGACTCTTCGACTCTTCATTTGATACAGGTTACCTTCCAAGTACCAATAGCCATTCCCATGATATTTTGAGACATGTTTCTCTCTCTGTCCGCCCTAGACGTTATTATGAATACCTTGAGCTTATCAGAATTCTTCAAGACAGCAAAATTCTTAGATTCTTTTCCCTGATCTGTTTTGTCCTGCTGAAAGGATATATTTGGGGCCTCTTTCCTATGTTTATTCACAGGTTTTCATAAAGAGGTTTCCTAAGGATGAGACACAGTCTTAAACTAGCATTTCTCAAATTACATTGTTTACACGTATGCATTTGAAACTGTTGTGTATTTTAGGTTCTGTAACTTGTGGGTTTTCTCTTAGTTCCACTCTTTCTTGTATTTTGCTAAGTACAGCTAAGAGCAGGTCTCTTGACTTCTTCCTGTGAATCCACAAGTTCATAAATCCCATGATCTGCCTTCCAGGTTACTGCCAGCAAACATAGTCCAGCCGGGTTATGATGTGTGTCGTCGTTTTTCCAGCCTTCAGTAACCGTTACTTGCCGCTCAGTCTCCGTGCCAGTCTCCCATGTGTAGTGTGCTTGTTACGGCAGTAACCCCTTCCCGGTACCAGGTTCTCTCCTGGCTTTTCCTAAATAAGGCTGCAGTAACCACGTCAACATTTTAGTGCCTCACAGCAGTAGAGATTTCTAGATCCCAGGTTAGCTGTGAGTTGTATGCCATTCTGAGGCTCCATGAAACGTGCCTTACTCTGGGTTTCAGTCTGAGGAGCAGCCTTGCCTTGGTCTTACAACAGAGGGAAAAGAGAAAACGCTGACCCTGTGATATCTCTTAATATGCCTCTCAGACATGGTGCAGATAATTTACAATTATATTTCTTGGGCCAAAGTAAGTTATATGGCCAGTCCCCATTCTGCATGGTAGGGAAGTGTCTCTGAGGCATGGACAGCCATCAGGGTCAAGGACAGGCAGCTATCTGTTCACCTACAGGAAGAAAGAGGGCAGAACAGTTGAGAACAACACCACCTGCGTGTTCACTTCTAGGGTCCCTAAAGCAATGTTTTTCAAAGGGCTGAATTCTTAGCTGAAGATAAACTGTTGGAAGTTCTCACTGTCTAGGTGCATACAAGTGAGATCACCCAGGACAGGGAAGCGAGTGCTAGAGACTCATGGGAGGCTAAGAATGAGCTGTCAGTAGCGGGGAGAAGAGAAAGAGCATGCCCAGGAGTCTTGTCATTGAGCTCTTCTGCTCCGAAAATAACTTCTTTTAAGGAAAGAAAAGCCTGAATACAAATGATTTAAATCTATCCAGTTTGTATCACCACAAGAGTTAGTTTCCAAATAGCATAGGAGATTGAAAACTAATATATGGGTATTTGTTCTTACAGAGATTTGCCACAGTATGGGCAGAAGCAGTGGCAGTCCTATTTTGGAAGAACTTTTGACGTTTACACCAAACTCTGGAAGTTCCAGCAGCAGCATCGGTAAAGGAATTGTGTAGTTAAAGGAGAGCAAGGCTCCCTTCTACTTTAGTCCCAGTTTTAACCTTTGCTACCTTGGTGCTTTTTATCTCTGGGTGCATCTTGGTGTATTTTATCTGCATGACCCAAATGAAAACAAATTGATTTTTTTCTTGCTTACTTGAGGTTTTGGAATGTAGTGTTCTTATTGGATTTCTAAAGACTATATATAACTGAAACAGTTCAGACTGAGTCTAACATAGCTTGACTGATTTGTGGTTTCTTTCTAAATAGGTGTTGTTTATTGGCCAAAACAATTTGTGGTTATTTATGCTTCTAATATTCATGAGTATAGCTCAAAGAAGTTTCTTTTTTATATTTCAACTTACTTTAAATAGACATTTTATAAATGCTTTTTGAATTTAATTGAATGATTTTGTTGAAATCTCATGAAAAATTCATGAATTCGAATTCACGAATTTAAAATTTCATGCTGAATTGGGTGTTATTTTATCCTATTAAGTTTGTAGATGTGGTTATTTTTGAAAATTATAGTCTCTTATTTTATTTTCTTATTTTCTATATAAAACAGACAAGTCTTGGATAATCGGTATGGCTTGAAGCGGTGGCAAATAGGGGAAATTGCTTCTAAGATTGGGCAGCTATACTACCATTATTAGTAAGTGAATTGCATGTGGAAAAATCAAGCATTGTCCTGAGTTATGCACAGCATGCGGAAGTATGCATGATATACTTATTTGATTGGGAGGAAAACTAAGGAGTTACAAATGAAACCCTAATAATTTAGATCAGATTATTTAAGACAGCATTATGAAATGACCTTCCATAATCAAAGTAACATTATTTGCTTCAAAGGCTCACCTTCCAAACAGTTCATTTGGTCAGACTCATTTATAACTTCAAGGAGTATGATCTTGGTACTAGAGAAATGAATTTCTAGTTCTTAATGGCTTCACTTAAACCTCAAAGAAACTGTGCGAGACAGACCATAACTTGTATGTTTGGATGAGTGGTTTTCAGGATATTTTATAACTGGTACTTGGAGGATGTGTCTAAAAGGGTTGTATGAAGTAGGTAAGGATAATTCTGATAATCTCCTTGGAGTGAGAGCATCTGGGTAGTCCCCTCCATGAGTTCTGGAAAGAAGAGGACTCTTTAGGACTCTAAATCTCATTCTCACGAAGTGGCGGCAGGGGTACCACAGAAAAGCTCAGACCATTTGTAACCTGATAGGCCAGACACCCCTGCCTCTTCCCATCCTTTGGCACATCACTCAATATTCTCACCATTAAAATCACTCTCTTGGGTAGCATATTCCTTTAAGAAGTCTTTTGTAAACTACAAATGTTGCTTTTTGCTATTTTAATTTATTTTTTAATTTTTCAATTGCAGTTTACCGTTAGTATTATTTTGTATTGGTTTAGGTGTATGGCATAGTGATTAGATAATTGTATGCTTTACAAAGTGTCCCCGATATTTCCAGCACCCACCTGGCACCAGACATAGTCATTACAATATTATTGGCCATATTTCCTGTGCCGTATTTTACATTCCCATGGCTGCTCTGTAACTATCAACTTGCACTTCTTAATCCCTTCACCTCTTACACCCAGTTCTTTAAACAAAGAACCCAATTTATCAGCATCTTCTAAAGATTGATATGGATTAGTCCATTTCTGAATCCTGTGAGAAAAGAAGTGAAAGAATGAGTCAAAGAACAAGTGACCGTGTATGGACGTGGGGAGGCTCATGAAAGGTCTGCCCTCGGCGGACGGTTTTAACCTGGTGGAAGGCTGTTTGGAGAGTCCCTTTGAAGAAGGAGAATAATGTGTACTTTGAGTTGCCATCCAATAGGGCTTGGGAGTGGTGGGGAGGTATTTTCTAAATATCACTATCACTATTTTTATATATTTTAACAGTGATATGCATATTGCTTTGCCAATTTGAATTTAGGACAGTCATTCCCATGCCCCCATGTGGAGGAATAGGGGGATAATGGAACAAGCATTGATCGTGGTGAAGAATTCGAGACAGTGTCAGATTGAAAGATTCTGTTTTCTCATAGCTTACGCACATCTGAGACCAGCTATCTGAATGAGGCTTTCTCCTTCTATTCTGCAATCAGACAGAGGTCATATTATTCTCAAGTCAATAAAGAGGACAGGTATGTACCTAGAACGTTTTTAGACAAGCAGGAAAAGCACGGGGCATTTTTAGTTTGTATGTAAATTATGCAGAAACGCATACATTTGTTTATAACTTTTATTCACTTAACGGGTCTTACAGAGTGCTCACTATGTGCCGGGACTCTTTCGGCATACAGAGGGAATGTTACCTAGTGGCTTAGATGTTATTTAAACACTGCAGATGTTGTAACAGACGTCCCAGTACCAGCGTGCAGTCAGAGCACAAAGGAAGGATAGCTTACTTCTTTATGAGAGCGTGAGGTCACAAAGTGTCATTGAAATGAAACAACTCCAGAGTGAGCCTTTGCTAATAACCTCGGTTCTTTTTAGCCTGGGTACTTTTACTTCGTATACATTCAAAAGCCTGCTGACAGCATCCACGCAGGACTAAGAAAAGGCATTAAGCTATTGGAACTGTATTTTGTAAACCCAACACTATTGTGCAGGTGTTAGGGAAAAATGTCTGATGGAATTTATTAATTCCCAACAGTAATCTGTTGAGCACTTACACGTACATACGGTGGTGTGATTGGTACTTGGGAAAAGGAAAAAGAAAAGGTGTACAAGTGTGCTCTTTTTTGTTTTAAATGGTTATCTTCTCATGGGAATTACAGACACCTTTGGGGTGTAAGTAGATGGTGATGTTTTTAATTCCAGATGAGTGTGGAGTTGTGGAAGAAACCAGGGATCTGCTAGAGAATCTTGATTGCTAGCATTCCAAGAACTGTTGGAAGAGGAAGTTCAGTACTAAGCCCTGGCTCGTGTCGCTCAGTGGATTGAGTGCCGGCCTGTGAACCAAAAGGTTCCAGGTTTGATTCCCAGTCAGGGCACAGGCCTGGGTTGTGGGCCAGGTTCCCAGTTGAGGGTGTGTGAGAGGCAACCAATTGATGTTCCTCTTCCTCTCTTTCTCCCTCCCTTCCCTCTAAAAGCAAATAAAAAATAAAATTTATTTAAAAAAGAAAAAGTGCAGGACTAGAAGATGTGAACGTTCTCTCTACCATTGACTCACAGAACTCACAGTTGTTCTATAGTGAAAATAATATATTCTCTTAGCAGTGGAAGAAAACGTCGTTTTGACATGTTTTTCTTGAGAACACTTTGTGCTTGGCTACCATAGGCTTTCCAACTGTACAGCAGCACTTTTTGGAAAGCCCCACTTTTGTAAATCCCCCTCGTGCCCCTGCGAGTCTGGTCCAAACTTGTCTAGAGGAGTTTGTTGGGTACAAGGAGGTTTGTAGATGCTGATGTCTGTGTGTTGTCGCCTTACTCATTCTTCCATCAAGACTCCCACCCATTACTCTCCCTGCAGATTAAATGATTTGCTGTACATATATTCACTATAAATATATTTCCTCCAGCACTCCCTTTATTGCACTTATGTTGTACAATTTGCCTGAATTCTTGGTGAGATGAATTTATCTCTAAGAATGTGCAAAAGGGCTATGTAATATTTTATTAGCAAGGAACTATTTTAAGCAATAGTAAAGTACCTTGTGTAATTCACTTTTCTAATTTGTCAAAAGGAAAATTGGCAATAAGCCCCTTGGCTTAAAACCCATCAGTTTGATTCATGGAAATTCTTTGCTGCCCTAACTGTGAACACTGCTCGTTAATTGTTTTCCTGTGCTGCCTCCTACAGCGGGGCAGATGAACAGAGGTAGGGTTATTTGGAACCGCGGAGTCAAAATCCCTTGCCTTAAGGGCACTGAACTGGAATCAAAGGACTGTCTGAAATCTTGACTTTGTTCTCTTGGGGGACTTTGTTCAGGTGGCGTGTTGTTTGCTCCTTAGTGAGCACAGGGCAAGGCAGCCAGTCAAGGTAGCAGTCGACAACAGCTCCTATAATCAACAGCTGTAGATTCGAACTAAGTGGGAAAGTATCGCACAATATCACAGTTGCTTTAAAAGGCAAAAATCTCTCCTCAAAGGGATGAGTTCTCTGCACTGTCTCAGTGCCTAAGGATTATGTCAGTGCCAGGAGGAATGGTTTGTTCTAGCAATCACCAAGGCGACTGCCTGTCACTAGTCAGCCCTCACACTGTCATTCCCCAGGCCCATCCTGTTTAGTAAAGGGAGATGTTATCCCATAATCAGTCATCCAAGGAGCTGCAGACCCCAGCTGTTGCAGCTGACCCTGACCAGAGTTAGACACAAAGAAGATAAAGTGTCCGAGGAAACGGAGGTAGGGGTGGCGTTGCATTGAGCCACCTGGAAAACAGTTTCCTTGCAACTGTGTAAAGATCCGGTGTCTTACTAGCGGAGGGTCTGGCAGGTAGCATGGGCCGCAGTTCCGGAATGCCACAAGAACTTTGTCAAAAGATCATGATGTCAGCTTCAGTGTCGAGAGTACTGAAGTTTTCTGCAGTGGGAAATGTGAATCTAAACTTAAAGACCTGGGCATTGTCTAGTGACCTTGGTAAGGAGGACTTGATGTGGACCTTTCCTTCCGCAGCTCGATAGGGAGCCCGGCAGCAGGCTGTGGGCTGCGGGTTCAGGATTTCCCGCTGGATTGGGATAGCCTCTGCTGTGCCAGTGGGTAGCACTGACTTCTTTCATCTGCGCTTTGCTGTAGTTTGGCACATGGTTTCCAAAATGAAATGCGTCTACTACTTCTGTACGTTCATTTACTACAGGGCCAGCAAACCATGGTCTGGTTTTGTACTGTCTAGTAGCTCAGAAGTGTTTTTACCTTTTTAAAGGGGTTGTGAAAAAAGAAAGATAAATATGCTGCAGACACCATCTGTGGCCTGCAAAGCCAAAAATATTTACTGTCTAGCCACTTAGAGAATGTTTGTCAATCTGTGGGTCAAGATATGTTCGTGTAATCTGTTACATAGTTGTATAAACTATGACATGGATTCATAGAACCTATTTTATTTTATCAAATGTTAGAGAATTGCTGTGTTAATGTTTCAAGTGTGAATTGACATCCTCCTCCTCCTCCTCCTACAATTTTTCTTCTGTTTTGAATTCCATTTCTGACAATAAAGTAGGATAGAGAATCTAAAATACTCTCTCCAGAACACCTAGAAATGCCGGATAAGATAGAGCAGTCATCTCTTCATCTTGAAATGGACAGCTTAGCTTCAAGAAAGTAAGAGAGATCCCCTGTCATTAGTAGCAGGACCAGTGTTGTAGCAACCCTGGGGGGGTTGGGGGGTGACAGAAAGGAACTACTAAGGATTTCTTCAGGGAGAGGAACATTGAAATTAGAAAGAAGGGTGTTGTATAAGCATTAGTGAGAAAAAAATTTCCCCTTGTTTCCTAAAAAAACACAGGCCTCATAAGACAGTAATCATTGTAATAATGGCTGTTCAATGTTAGTAAGAAAATGGGGCTGCCCTGACCTGCGCGGCTCAGTCAGTTGGGCGTTGTCTTACAGAGCAAAAAGTTGCCAGTTCAATTCCTCTGCAGTGCGCAGACCTGGGTTGCAGGTTCGGTCCCTAGTCAGGGCACGTATGAGAGGAGACCGATCAATGTTTCTCTCACATCAGTGTTTCTCTTTCTTTTTCCCTCCGTTCTCCTCTCTATAAAAATAAATAAATAACATCTTTTTAGAAATGGGGCCAAATCCTAGAGAACTATAACATGAAGGAAGAAAGGAGATAAAGAATTAAACCATGCTAGTAAGATCCATTTATGGTTCAGAAGAAACTTAGAGTAAAAGTTGCTTGTTAAATATTAAGAAAAATATTTTTAAAGAACCTAAGGAGAATGTGTAGTTTCAGAACAGGTAGAAGGGTAACTAAAGTGAGTAATACAATTATGATTATTACAATAAAAGGTAGCAGAGGAACACATATTACAAATATATAATTAGCACAACATAATAAAGTAGAAATAAGTGCAGGTCATTGGTAATCACAGTAAATGAAAGAGATCTAAACTTCCCAGGTAAAAGGCAGAGATTATCAGGATGCCCTTTTAAGGAAAAGCCAGTAATACACTCTTTGCAAGAGATCCTCCAAAAAGATCTTCCTAGACAGTACATAGAATGCTGCTGTGTTTGTGTGTACATTATTTATATTTAAGGCAGAAAGTATTATTAAGTATAGAGGCTTATCTCATAATGATAAAAGGAACAACTCAGGAAAATATAAAAATTCTTAACATGTATATGCCCAGTAGTGTAGCATTATAGTAAGCTAAGCAAAAAATGGTAAATTTTTAGGGAGAGCTTGACAAATGGTCTAATTAATATTCATGGAGATATTAAATATACCATATTTAGTGACTCATATATCAAGAAGACAAAATTATAAGATTTGAATGACATAAAAGTTGTATTTAAAATTGCACACAATAAGCACATGCACATAATATTCAAGCTTATATGAAACTTGTGAAATTGACTTATACTTGCCTCAAAATAGGTTTTTCAAGTATATGTTGTCCAACTGTGGTGCAAATCCATTAGAAATTAAGAATGAGAACATAGTTTTTAAAAATCAATGAATTGGTTGATTAGTAGACACATTTCTAAATAACTCATGGGTCAAAGAAAAATTTTTGTTTTATTATGGAAAATGTCGTACACGAAAGTACAAGGTTGTAACATTATTACATTTGCAATGTAGGATGTGGAAAGGAGGAAGTGGAAATTGGGAGTGTGGGGTTTGAATTGATAAGGGATGAATGTAAAGTGTCAGATGTAAAGAGGTGCAATATGGACTGTAAATAGCCTTTGAAAAGTTGAGGGTGCAATTGCTACTTCTAGCCACACCAAAAAAACAATAATGAAGAGGTATAAGTAAGAGGCCAGTAGAGAATGCAAAAAGGTACACTGAAATACATTAGAGGGACTGGAAAGAGAGCAAGAGAGGGCCAACGGAGGAGCACAGACACCAAAGGGGCAGGTGGAAACTGGTACAGCAAGGTGGACGCATAAAGCCAGAGGACCTGAGTGCACGAGGCAAGGACTTTCCCAGTGGCTCAAAAAGCCAACCTACCCAGGTGCTGTCTACAAAAGAGGCGCTAAAATAAAAAGACACGGGTACTTGGAAGCAGAGGGACCAAAAAAAGATATGACATATAAACACTAAGCACAAGAAAACTGGCTTGGTAATATTAATATCAGAAAAATAAGATTTTAAAACAAAGAATGTTCTTCCTAGAATGCTTTTCACCTTGTGTCTTTCTACCTCTTGTCTTCTACCCGTCCTTATACGTAGCCTTAACTTAAACGTTACTCTTTCCAGGAAGTCTGCTGTCATTTAAGATCCAGCCTCGTGGGCTCAAATGGCACCCTTTATTTCTCCTATCATTGTATTCATTCCACTGTGTTTGAAAATTTTATCTGTCTTCTATATTTTAAATACTTTTTTTGTCTGTAAGATCTGTGAAGAAGGAATGGTGTCTGTAGTTCTGGTTTTTGTTTTTCTTTTTACTCCCAGCAGTTAGCATAGTACCAGATGCATCTAAGTTCTTGATAGATATTTGTTTAATGAATGAATTATGTGATAAATCAGTAATAAATGTGTTAAAGACTATAGTTATATGCCAAAATGTGTATAACTGCAGAATAGGGTCAAGAGTTTAAAAGCTGTAAGAAAGTTGGAAAAAAATCAAAAAGCATATTTCCTTTTTTGATCTAATGAGTAATTTTCCATTTGTCTACCATAGACCCGAGTTGGTAGTTAAGAAGCTAAGATACTATGCAAGATTTATAGTAGTTTGTCTTCTTCTCAACAAAATGGATGTTGTGAAGGATCTGGTGAAGGTAAATGTACTTTAAAATAATTAAATATCTAACTATGTATGGATACTTTTGTTTAAAAATAGATTTAAGGATAAAATAACTTTTGATACATCTAAATCATTACAGCATTCAAAGTATGGTAACTTCTGACAAGGGTAATGATAAAAAAATTTTTTTCAACTCTCTTCATACTTCAAACACACACTGACCAGAGATAATTATCTTAATTCCTTGCTTTTACCCCATCAGCATGCTGTACATTTCACTACCCGTCAGTGCATGGCTGGGAAATGCAAACAAAAGTTAAACTATTTTGTTTAAGAGAAAATAACGGAAGTGTTAGGTCATAAAAAACTACAGTGCATAACGTTTTACGCAGGTGCTGCGGGTGAGTTTCGGTTTTCCATCTGTCGGTGTGTCTACGTCACTGTGTCCTTCATTAACTGAGACGACAGAGAGCGAAGGCCATGGGGCTCCCTGTCTCTCTGTTGTGGCTGCAGACCGCATTCCGGCGCGCTCTGCATTCAGATAGTGGTTTCCATGGCACACTCTTAATTTGGGGGACTCAAGTATCGCATGCTGGTTTTGACAAGTCCTCCTCTGTATTTCTCCACTCCTAGTTACTATGAACAATCTCCAGATAAAACCAGTGTGATATAAAAGCCAGAGAAAATCAGCTAGACATTATTACTTTTTTGCATGTTAAAAATTGGGGGTTTTACCTTGAAGAGTTTTCTGCTAATAAAGTAATGGCTGATGTGGCGCCAAGTAGGTATGGGTCTTGCAGGGTCTCTCTGAAGATCTTATTGATGGGGATCATTCTGGAGTTTTTGATTTTGAGATAAATGCAGGTAGTTTTCTTTCTTTCTTTTTAGTTATAATTGGGACTGCATTTGATAATAGTCAAACTTCTTATCTGTGTCAGTTCTGTCAGGAATATGGTACCATGTAGTGCTTTTTTTTGTATAACCATTTTCTTTGTGATACTTTAAAATCAGGAATTGTCTGATGAAATTGAAGATTATACTCACCGCTTTAATACTGAAGATCAAGTGGAGTGGAACCTAGTGCTTCAAGAAGTCGCAGCTTTCATTGAGGTCAGTTTTCGACAAAAGGTTGTCATAGTTACGGATAAGTAAATTCTTGTGTGGTGTGCATTTTGACTGTGTATATCAAGAAGGAATAACTTACTATACTGACATTTTATCCTGGCTGTCAACTACCGACTGCTTTTCTCTGCAGGCGGACCCCGTAATGGTACTGAATGATGACAACACCATTGTGATCACATCGAACCGCCTCGCTGAGACGGGAGCCCCTTTGCTGGAACAGGGCATGATTGTGGGACAGCTGGCTCTGGCCGACGCACTCATTATTGGTAATTGTAACAATCAGGTAAAGAATCGCGAAGGAACTAAGCTGAAAGTCTGCTTTGAAAAATAGTGCTTTTGCCGTATTATAGGATTTTTATTTCTTTGTAAATGTCCTAACATCCATTTGTGAGGAAATGTTAATTATGCTGTGTCCATCTGTGGACTATGTTACAGACATTTAAGTGGTTTAGAAAGAATTTTTAATCACAAAGGAAGATACTCATGATGTGGTAAGTGAAAATAAACTGGTTGTGGAGCTATGTAAACAGAATTCTTTCATGTGTGAAAATGTACACACACACACACACACACACACACACACACACAGGAAAAAAGACCAAGAAGAAATTCACCAATATCATAAAATGTTTATCTTTGAGCAGCAGAATTTTAGGTGGTTTTTATTTTCTTCTTTACAACTTTCTAAGTCTGCTTCTTACTATTTATAATCCACAAAAAAGGGAGGTGGGGTTCCTCTTAAGCACATTTGTCAAAAGCACATTTCAAATATGGTTTTCATGGGACAGAACAGTCCATGATGATGATTTAATGTACCAGAAATGTAATTTACTAGAAATTATGAGATATTGGAAAAGTTACCACTGAATACATTTTTCTACATGCATTATTTATACAAGTTTTAATTTTGAAGCCTTCCTTACACTTACCATTTTTGTTTTTAACTTTTTCTAGTGCTTTTCCAACTTTGGCGTTTATAACCATTAATTCACAGGTTTACAAATTAAAACATTTAAATTTAAATACAATGTTGCCTACCCGAAGTTCTATGGGAGTATTATTCAGAACAGAAAGGGATGCGGTCTTACACATTGTGTACTACCAAAGTGTAGTGAGGAGGCTATAAAATGTGGGCCGGAGCCATACTGTAGCCTCGGTGTGTTGCCAAAAGTTAACATGTTTTATAGGACCTCTGTAGGTCTCTGTGTTTACATGACTACTTTGATTCGTTTCTTTTTTCTTTAAGATTTTATTTATTTATTTTTAGAGAGAAGGGAAGGGAGGGAGAAAGAGAGGGAAAGAAACATCAGTGTGTGGTTGCTTCTCGCATGCCCCCCAAATGGGGACCTGGCCTGAAACCCAGGCATGTGCCCTTACTCCGAATCGAACTGGCAACCCTTTGGTTTGCAGGTCAGAGCTCAGACCACTGAGCCACACCAGCCAGGGCAGATTTGTTTCTAAAAATACCTGAGGGAATTGATGGATTGATAGGAGAATGGATAGATGGCGAGATATGTGATAAAACAAATATAGGAAATGTTAATGTTGTAGGATCTAGATGATAAGCTTATGGATGTCACTGTGTAAGTCTTTCAGTCTTCTGTCTTTTAAAACTTTTTATGCTAAAATATTGGGAAAGACCCAATGTCATTAAGTACACATGAATGTTAAGAGTAATGATATGATTAAGGCTTCAAGGTCTGCGTTCTGCATTAATAGTCAGGTTTGTTGGCCTTGCAGGTTAAGTTCAGTGAACTAACTGTTGACATGTTCCGGATGTTGCAAGCCCTGGAAAGGGAGCCAATGAATTTAGCCTCCCAGATGAATAAGCCAGGAATGCAGGTACGTCCTCCCTCCTTTTGCAGTTTTGCTAACACTCCTGCTGCTTCTACTGCCCGGGGAATGTTGTTAATCCAACACATGATATGAGTGCGAATAAGAACTCTCTTGATGAAATACAGGAAATATAGACAAGCATAATAATAGTAACAAAAGCTATTTGGTGAAGAGGATAGTAAAAATAGATATTGATAATCCATCTGTCAAGTAGAGCTTGTATGTGTGTTGTTTTCTGTGTGTAAATACAGGAATCAGCCGACAAGCCTACCAGGCGAGAAAACCCCCACAAGTACCTGCTCTACAAACCCACCTTCAGCCAACTGTACACATTCTTAGCAGCATCTTTTAAGGTATATATGATCCAGTGTATTTTACTATATGGGGAAAGTGTGCCCGAAATGGAATCTGAGAGTCACTCTTCTCTTGGAATATTTGAGTCGAGAGTTTAGGTAAAAGAAGAAATTGAAACTGCCTTTGGAATATCCTAGTCATAGTTATGTTCAGAATGAAAATTGCTTATGGTGTTCCTTCCAAATGTTCTTTACCATTAATTAATGAGACTATTGCTTAATTATTCTCCTCCCTGCAGGTTTTTTATCACTGAACTACTTTAGGCATAAGAGTCAGTGCAGGACTAAAAAATACAGGAGCAGGGTGCATAGGCCTGTTACATATTCAGGCAGCTCAGGGAAACACTCTGGTCACTGAAAAAGCTATGAGGAGTCCGGAGGGAGCTCCTCCCAGTGTCTAGTAGGGAAAGCCACAGACGGGAGTTCGTCTTTCCGAGCTGTAGTCAGGATCTTTACTTCTCCATTACAGGCTTTCCAGCAAACATTTTCTAAATGATGGGTGTTTTGAAGCACAGAATGTCTTCAAAATTTTGGCAGTAGTTGTAGATTATAGATTAACATAGAATCTTTTGCCATGTAGACAGAAGTTGGAACCCGTACGAGTGACTCTTCTCTTGGAGAAGACAGTATGTTAGATTAGGTTCTTAACCCCCACTCCCAACACCTTTAAAATGTCATGAGCTTTAAGTAAAACTGTTGTTTTCCCTGTTTGTTGTTTTGTATGTGTGATTTTTTTTAATTTCAGGAGCTGCCTGCCAATAGCGTGCTCCTGATCTACCTGTCAGCCACCGGCGTCTTCCCCACAGGTCGTTCTGATAGTGAAGGTACAATAAAGGAATGCTCCTGTTGTGAGCAGGGCTTGAATTCTCTGTATTTTCTACAAGACGATGGCCCACAGCCTGCAGACTCTCTCCAGCGTTCTGGAGAGGCTTCCAAATTGGGAATCTGATCTATTTCTGGAACTGGCACTCTTACAGATACCCCAGTCTATTTTATTTGCTGAAATAGTATGCATTCAAGTCCACGAATCGTCAGCAAATTCACATACTAACTGTGTGCCTCACTAGCAGATGTACCAGAAGCACACATGTGTATGAAATGACCAAGCTAGAAATGATGGACTTCACATGGTTGAATTTTTCTGAGCTTTTCATGCGTCAGGTGATCTGGTCAGTGGCTTCATCGGGGCTGAAAGTCTTTGTAGAAATCAGTACACTTTTGTAACTGTGAAAGTTCAAGTCCTTGTCATGATTTTGTTTTCCGTCCTTTTTTTTATTTGGTTTTTATGGATTCAACATGTAGAATATTGGGATGCTGTTTCAGAATAAAAACTTAAAACTGTCCAGAATATATGAAATTGGTCAGAATAGGTGAGTAACTGGGATGCAAAGGAGGCATTTAAATCTGTCTGGACACACACAAAAATTTTTTAACATCCTTAACATTTTCCTCCTCATCTGTTTGTGAAATTTGCATTCCTTTATACAGTGCATGTCCCTCCCATCTTCCTGCATGACCTACAGATCCTCTTAAAGTGATAAATGAAAACAAACCAAAATAGATCTCATCTTTTCACTGCAGTGATTTTCTAAGGGATAAAATATAACAGCATTAAAAGTGATTTGAAGTCATAAACTAACCTTTTGTAGTGAAGTTAGTAATTTTATTTATAAGCAATTATTTCTGTCTCTTAGCTACTCTTGAACCAGATTTCCTGGGCCCCTGCTTAATACGTTGACCTGTTGTTTTACTTTTTCAAACTGTAATAGCACTACAGTCAGTAACTGAATAGTCCTTGGAAAGAGATTATTCCAAACACCCCTCAGTTGCTGTTCCGGTTAGATGAAAGTTTAACTAATTAATCTGACTAGCAGCAAACTTCAAAACGGAACTCCAGCAGTTGGTATAATAGTGATAATGGATTTTTTCACATGCTAAAATTTGGCAATTCTTTTTTTTAAGATTTTATTTATTTATCTTTAGAGCGAGGGGAAGGGAAGGAGAAAGAGAGGGAGAGAAACAGCGATGTGAGAAAGAAACAACCAGTTGCGTCTCATACATGTCCTGACCAGGGACCAAAACCGCATTCCAGGCATGTGTCCTGACTGGGGATTGAACTCATGACCTTTTGCTCTGTGAAACAACATCCTACCAACTGAGCCACACTGGTCAGGGCAGCCATTCTTCTCAACAAGTTAAGATTTTGTCAGTGAGAATTTTCAAGTTTTATTCCAAATTTTACAATTAATGGCTTGCTTAAAATTATACTTAAATTATTGTTCAAGTAGTTTTCTGTTTTTTACTTCCATCCAAGCCCCCCCCCCCCGGAGGGTGGGCTTGGATGGGAGTAAAAAACAGAAAACTGTACTTGAACAATAATTAAATAAATTTTAAAAAATTATACTTAAGAAATTATTTGGACTTCAGTCTGCAATTTCTTACTTAAATAATTTTGTTAAACCTGAGATTTTAATTGTGTTTGAAATATAAAGATCACTCTGAGCATCCCAGGTCTCCATCCCTTTATCTCCCCGAATAATGGGATTTACTGGATGCTTGTTTTGTTTCTCATTAGATTGTGTTTGAAGAACTGATGAATAATTAAGTGATTTTTTAAAAAATGTTGAAATAAGCAACATGCTGAAATCATTTAAATACTGCATTAAGAAAATTTAAAATAATTAAAATGTTTTCTAATTACCTTCTACTTGTATCAGTGAGAGATTCACATAACACCTTTGAACATAGAACAGTGTCACTCTCCAGCTGAAGTCTAGGGTTCTTCCGTTTGTTTTTATAGGTCCCTATGATTTTGGAGGGGTACTTACTAATAGTAACCGGGATATTATAAATGGAGATGCCATCCACAAACGAAATCAGTCCCACAAAGAAATGCACTGGTATGTATTCTAGTGTCTCTCCCTACTATGAAAATTAGAGTTCTCTCTTATGAAATATAAAGTGAAATAGGGACCTTCTTCTAGTGCTAGAAATACTCTCTTAGGCTGCTATTAATTACACTTATGTGGATCCAGCAACATTTCCATCTCTGACTATCCTAGGAAATTAGAATTTTGAGCTGATACATATTTTTTAAATTTTCATTGAATATCAATTATATGTCAGGCACTATTCAATTACTGGATATACGTCAATGAACAAAAATGGCATTTAAGTTGGAGGAGACTATAAATACATACATACATAAATAATAGATCAGGACATGATACATTTTAATGTCAATACAGACTTTTTAATATAAGCTTCTGTTGGTTTGATATACCACAAATGAGCTTAGTTGTGATTTCCAGTAGAATTCACCTATGAAAGTTGTTCTTTTTCTAGGTATGACACATTCACTGGGTGAGCCATTATTGGCTCTATAATTTCTCTATTTGAGAGGGAGCGATCTGGTTATTAAGGAACTGGACTTGTTTGAAACCGCATTTCCGATAGCACATTACATAAAATGTGAACTGCTCATGTTAAAGAACGGGAGGACAGGCGGAGAGGGAGACGTTCGACACTGTGTGTGTGACAGTCGACAGTTGACAGTCCTCCAGGCCATACATGTCAGTGCCACACTGACCTTAGTTGTAAATGACTTATGTTAGAAAAGCTTGTATATAAAATTATGATATTGGTCATTGACATATCGCTTTATATGTTTATATTTACATCAATATTTACACATACACGCACATTGTCCACTAAGCTGGAAAGAGCGTGCACACCAAAATTGTGACCTGCTTGGCATATGGGGGTGACGCTCTGACCCACTGAGCTACTCGGCCAGGGCTGTGACCTTTAGCAATGGCTCTCGAATACATGCTGCTGGACTCTTAGCCTTAGGGTCCAGTAGAATCTATAAACATATAGATTCCCTTCTGTGGGCCGGGAAATATATGTTTAAGAAACACCCAGCTGATTCTGATAAAATGTCCAGAGAAAGCAAAGACCAGTAAAAAAGGGAAGCCCTGTTATTGTCTGCAATAGAAAGATACAGCCTGAAATACTAAGAAATCTTTAAAATAGGTATAGATTTTGAAAGACTCATCAAAGTACAAATCTGGTTGTGTTATCACATCTTTGTTTTCAAAACATGTTTTCAAAGGGGCTTTTGGACACTAAGCAAGGACCTTTATGCCCACTTCAAAGATCTGCGTGTTGTGTGTGGGGCCTGTCTCTCCACATACCGTAGCCTTCTCTCCAGCGTGGATATTCTTGAGTAGGAATTATCTCTGAAGCTTTTTCCCAGTAAAACTTCATACACACAGTCTTTGTCTTCTGCTTAATTAATCTTTGTTTTTCTCTCAGTGCTACGATGAAAAGGAGATGTGAGCAAACCAAACTGAAGAAGAAAAATCCCCAGACTTGGCGGTACAGTCCCTCAGTTACTCACTGTTGTTGTTTTCCAGCCTCCACCCCGGGGACCTCTATCCTTTCACACGGAAGCCCCTGTTCATCATTGTGGACTCATCCAATAGCATCGCATATAAGGTGAGTTCCGTGAGCGCCGCGGCACAGGTGAGACGTGGTGGCACCACCCGAGGTAACTGATCTTAACATGTGCCTTTTTATTTTGCTTCATTTTATACAGTTTTTATTTAGTCTTTCTTTTCTTTTGAGGTTGTGCATGCTAGTCAGGATCTGGTGCTCTGAATAGAAACAAGAAGAAAATGCATGAATGGATACTCAGTGGAAAATAATAAATCCTCCTGCAGGAAAAAAAATTCAAGATTTCCAAGATCTCTGGTGGAAGGTTCTTTTTGTTATATAACCCAGAATTATTTCCTTTTATAGAGGTAGAAGTACATGGGCATGTTTTATTTTCAAGTTTACAGACTTTTTCCCCATCTACACACTGAGCTGCTGTGGTTTAACTGAAATTTATATCCCATGTTTTATAGTTGCAGTCACTGAATATCAACATGAATTGTTTTAAATGCACTTACTTTAAAAATGTGAAAATAAGTAAAAAGTGATGGCCCTGAATGCTGAAATAAGTAACAGGGATCTAACTTGAAAATCTTTCATTTTATATTTTGCTTTTGAAGCAGTGTTTTTTGATGATTGTATAAAGAATGTCAGCAACAAAACACTTTAGGATATTAGAGTTCACATTATAGTAATTTACAGAAAAATGAAAATAATTTTTGGAGTTTTTGTATGTGGTTGGAATATTTCATTAGTGAGCAGTATGTTCAGAAATATGCTGGGACCTGCACATTAAAACTGCCAATTAAAGCTATTTTTGTTGTAGGTATACATGTAATTAGGTAGAGAAGCAGACATTGGTAGGTTTATTTCAGGAGAGCAATGGCAATGTCTGGGAGCTGTGAGAGCTGACCCCAAGCATATGTTTTCCATCTAATTTCATGTTTAGTTTCACTTTTTAAAGTCTGAATTCCAAGAGCCTCCAACCAACCCCGAACTTGTCGGCAAATTTCCTGCTACCTATTTTATCAAGTTTAACATTACAACTTTGATTTTGGAGAGCATTGGCTGTATACTTTCTTAACCCATGTGTGTGGTGGTGTTTTTAATCTTTCTGAAGGGGTAGGAAGTTGCTGAAGGAAAAGGTTCATTAGCTCTCCTGTTCAAACTTATAAAACCAGAGGAGTCCGGGCAGTTGTCTTCACAGAATTCAGAAGAAGCGTTCACTTTGAACGAGAAGGGATTGTTTGCGGTGGTTTAGGATGGGACGGGGTTGCTGACACAGCAGGTCAAGTGTATTGCTTATGTGCTCCAGCGTGCATTGGGAGTACTTCAGCAATCTAGTACTTTCTCTCACTTTAATTGGATGTTACTTGATAGCACTTTTTATCATCTCAAAAATATCTTTCATTACATGTGTCTGCTATTTCCAGAGTACATTTTGGATGTAGAATGAGTATTGGATGCTGATTTAATAAAAAACACCACTGTGCCTACTTGGAAGTGTATTTACTTAATTAGGTACCATGATTTAATTCTAGATTTTAATATTCTTTTTTTTCTTTTTTTAAAGATTTTTAAAAAATCTGTTTTATTGATTATGCTACTACAGTTGCCCCATTTTTCTTCCCCTTTATTCCCCTCTGCCCTGTAACCCCCTCCCACCACCATCCTAGGTTTTAATATTCTGACCGGACAGCAGTGGAATAACAGAAAGGTGGTTTTTTGGGTTTTGTCTGCTTATGTTTGATGGCACATGCAGTATAACTCCTCTAAAAAATTAAATTGTCCAGAACATACTGATCTTCAGAAATGAAATGGGGAGCCCGTTTGCAGCAGGCAAATTAGAGTATGGCACAGATCAACCTGGTCTTTTCTAAATCAAGTGAGAGTTCTGTGTTAATTAATGTATGAATGTTTCTCATTCTTACTTTTTCCAGAAAGCATGTGTAAAAACTGTTAAAGTACCATTTTGCAAGTTTCTAATGAAAACGGAGAAAGCTGTGTGACCAATCTACAAGTATTAGTTCTTGAGTGCCTACATTGCTGTGTATGCCTAAAATGTATATGCCTATAAAACACACATGTGAATGTTTTATAGACATACATGTTTTCTGAATGCTTCTTCATATGTAAACATTTCATGTACACTTCTTTAAATTTTACATTTTTATTTTTATGAGATTAACTCATGCATGTAGTAGTTTAAAGCTATAGTTCTCAACTCTCTCCATGCATGAGTAACACTCACAGTGCTTTTCAAAACTTGCACAGGGGCCCCAACTCCCGTTTCTGATTCACTGGGCTTGGGTGGGGAGGGCGGGGTCAGATGTCGGTGTAATCCCAGCCTATTGTCAGAGCGGGAGCTGCGCAGTCAGTGAGTTGCACCAGGTGTTACTAAAAAAGCAGTTCCCTGCTCTTGCCCTACCCCTGTTTGCCTCTTTCCAAAGGCCACCGTTTATATCTTTTTAGCTGATTATTGGTATTTAACCACCATTTTTGTAAATAACATGCTGGTATTGATATTTCTTGGTTCTTCAGTTTTAGGCATTATGTATTGATATCCCATTATGGAAGAGAAATTTAGCTTTCCGCTTCCTAGCCCCAACTCACATTTATACCTTTTATATCCTTTTATTCATACAATAAACTTATAAATTCGAATCACTAAATATTTAGTGCTTATATTATTGTGTCTATAAAGTGCTTCTAACAGCTAAGCCACATAGTAAACTTTTCCTTTCCTATGCAACTTTCTACTTGTCCTGGAACAAATAATTATTTATCTTGGTTCCTTGCTTTTCCCTGCTCAGCTTATCACCTATTCAGCCCCAGTCTCCTTACCAGCTGTGTACGTCTTTTTCAGATTAGCCAGGTGTATTAGTCTCTCCATTTTTTCTCTGTGTGAATGATCTCCCAGAGCCTCTGCCCAGGGGCCCTCTACCTCTTCCACGCAGCTCTTGCCTCAGAACCTCTTCCCGTTATTGTCCTGGGCAGTCTTCATCTCTGTCCTGTATCGGGTCCCCGTCCTCAGGGCTGTGTCTTCCTCTGGGACGTTTACTCTCTCAGTTCGTGTAGCATCTCCTAGAGTAGCTTCCTGAGAAGGTTGACCATGAGATAAAACATTTGAAATCTTACACTTCTGCAAATGTCTTTAATTTACCCTCACACTTCAATGATGGTTTTGGAATGGGTTAGAAATACTTTCCCTTCAAAATTTGCAGGCATTGCTGCATTGCTTTGTAGCTCCCAGTATTTCTTAAGAAGCACAAAGCTTTCTAATTCTGAGCTCTTTCATGTGACCTATTTCCAGGCTCTGGAAGCTTATAGGATCTTCTCTTTGTTTCCATTTTTTTTCCCCACAGAAGACTAGGCAGATTTTTTTAAACTGAATTTATTGGAGTGACATTGGTTAAAGTCTCCTGTGTTTTTTAACTTAACAGCGTGTCCCGGTCTGGGATTACTTTTAACCATGGCCTGGCGTGTACTTGGGGAGTCCTTTCAGTCTGGAGACCGTGCCCACTTTCTTGAGCTGTTCCAGGGATTCCTCTCCTCCATTTTCTCTGTACTATCTTTTGGCAACTTTCGTCATTCATATTTTAGACCCTCTGTTCTAACCCTCTGATTTTCTTGCTCTTTATTTTCCATCTTTTGGCCTTTTTGCTCTTGAGAAAATTCCTTCGCCTTTATCTTCTAATCCTCCTATTGAGATTTTTTATTCATTCTTTAGATGTTTCTTTCATAAAAATATAGAGGCATATAAAATGCATATTCATACACATGTATAATTATCTTGGTTTTTATCCTAGTTGAAATACATGGGTCTGTCCAGAAGGTATCCATCTATGTAATATGAAAAATAATATTGAAGAAGATACAAGATACAAAAACACTGTATATAGGACAATGACACCTCAGTCCCCTTCAAAGTGGGCAGCTTGGGACCTCATACAGTTTTCCCAATTGCCATCAGCTGCCCTGTTATATTTTCCTGATTCTCACTGACTTTCTGAATCTTTTCCCTTTCAAGAGTGATTTTATTTGTTTATTCATTTATTTATTTATTTTCAGGGGGAGAATCCTGAAATCATCTGAATAGTTTCCGTGGAGGAATGTTCAAGCTTAATGCAAAATTTGATGCAGATTCATTGCTCTACTTGCTCAGTCATTTTGAATGCGACAGCCACACAGTACACACGCTCACTCAACAGCGTCTGTCACCCCCACTGACTAGTACAGTGAAGTCATCATTGTTCATGCATGCTCATTCCAGTCCACTCTCCTTGGCTGCCAGGTTACACTGATGTTGCACAAACCCTTCTCATTATATTAACAACGGCTGGACTTTTTTCAGACAGACTTCATATTCTCCTGCCTTTGAGAATATCAGTGATTATTTTAGAACTTCTCCCTGCTAGCTATTTCCTTCATGTTGATGCACTTTGGTTTGTTTTTGCCTGCCTACATCATATTAGAGACCTTCCTCTGAGTATTGTAATTTTTGCTTATCTGCTCAGATTCAAGAGTGGAAGCTAGCTAGCAACATGGTCAGAATCTTTGGGGTTGGAGATAGGCTATTATGCTGAGCAGCTCGGTGTGACGGTCTGGCTGGACCTGTTTGTTGGGTAGTCTCTGGTGTCTCTTTAGTTCTGTCTTCATTGTCCCGTCATAATCCCCAGAGCAGACTCGGCTATTCTGCCTGGAATAGAAAGGTCTATCAGCATTAGGCTCTCTTTCCCTAGAGTCTCTCTCTGTGTTTATATGTGTATACCTTTGTGTTCCCAGGGCCTCACACTTAAAAAAAATCTTAGTAAATATATGTTGAGTGGTTAAATGAAGAGATGTGCTGTTATCCTTACAGTCAAGGAAACTTCACCTATGGAGGTTAGGTAACTTGCCGAACTGATTCCAGCAGTCTCTCTCATCGCAGACCCCAGTTCCTTCCACACTCAGGAAAAGAGGAGCTTTACATGCTCGTCCGAGCTTCAGTGCACAGGAGGGTGACTGAAGTGCCGGGATGTGTGTAACAAGTATGGCCCACACTGTGCCCCTCAAATTATCCT